CCAGTGTATTGTTTTGGGTCAGGGTCTCCTCTCACTCCTGAAGGAGACCCTTTTCCCATCTCTCTGGAAAAGTCTATGCTTCTCCATGCTTTGCTACAAGACAGAGTCAGCAGCCCTATTTCACCAAACAGGTCCTCAGAGTGTCTGGAGGCAGATCTTAAAGGGACCTTTGTAAAGCTGTAGGGGAAAAGCCACAATCACCAGTCCCAGCTCTTTGGTAAAGGTCTAGATAACTACAATTCCTGGAACCCTCAATCAAATCTCACACTACCAGTTTTAATATCCAAACTGTGGAAAAGTAATCATGGGGAGAACCAGGGGAAGAACTCTGGCAACATGAATAATCAGAATATATCAACTCCCTCAAGAAATGACAAAGGAGATAGATCAGAAGATGCCATTCATAAATAAATGGCTGAAATGTCAGAAACAGAATTCAGAATATGGATGGCAAATAAAATGAATAGAATGGAGGAAAAGATGGAAATAGAAATCCAAAGAGTTGTGCAAACATTGTCTCAAAAGTTAATGAATTGAAGGACAAAATCACCAAGGATATGGACATAATGAGAAAGGAGATACTAGAGCTCAAGGAAATGAAAAAGTTATTCGAGGAGCTCTGAAATACAGTGGAATTCCTCAGTAATAGAGTTGAGCAGGCAGAAGAAAGGACCTCTGAAATTGAAGATAAAGCTTTTGAACATTCTCAAATGCTCAAAAAGGCAGACATATGGAGAGCAAAAACTGAACATTCCCTGAGAGAGTTGTGGGACCACTCCAAAAGATCAAACATTCATCTTATAGGAATTTCTGATGGAGAAGAGGATAGTCCAAAATGCACAGATGCTCTACTCCAAGATATTATGGAGGTGAATTTCCCAAGCATTGCAAGAGACAGTTTCAGAACCCCAGAAAGACTTAATCCAAATAAAGCATCTCCTAGACACATGGTAATTAACTTTGCCAACGTTAATATGAAGGAGAAAATTCTGCAAGCAGCCAGATGTAAGAAAACCCTACCTATAAAGGAAGAAATATTGGAATGATTGCATATATCTCAGCTGAAAACTTTCAAGTCACAAAAGGATGGTCATTGACCTTCAATCTCCTAAAACAAAACACTTTCAGCCCAGGATCCTATATCCAGCTAAATTGAGTTTCATTTGTGACAGAGAAATCAAATACGTTAATGACTTACATATGTTGAAGAAATTTGCCATAACTAAACCAGCTTTCCAGGATATTCTCAAACCCATCCTCCATAATGATCAGCACAATGGTCTACCACCAAAGTAAACACACCTAGAAATTTTGGAACAAAACCTAACTTCCACAGTGGAGAAGGATTGGGGGAGGATTAAAAATATCCACTGGACATTTGAAAAACATGACACCCAAAACACTACCATGCTTATCAATTTTCTCAATTAATATGAATGGCTTCAATTGTCTTCTCAAGAGGCACAGGTTGGCTGACTGAATTCATAAACTCAGACCAGATATCTCATCTTACCTTAAAGGATAAAAATACACTCAAGGTGAACAGATGGACATCTATAATATAGAAAAATGAAAATCAGAAAAAAGCAGAGGTTGCAATTATATTTTCAGATACAATAGGTTTTAAAACAACAAAGATAAGGAAAGATAAGGATGGTCACTACACATTTGTCAAGGAAAACATGAAGAGACTTTGATAATTAACATTTA